CAAGTAGATGGATGTAGATGGGAAAGTGTTGTCATTGATACACTTACAGAACAGTGGTCTCAGTGATAAGTTTGTATACAAGCTTTACAAGACAATTAAGAATTAAGTCTGGTAGAAGCATTTTGAAGTTTTGGAAGAGTGTGAATATCTTTCAAACTGTGCTATATAAATGATGTAATGTATGTATGAAATATCTTTCTTTACTCGACCAGTGTACACAGAATTGCAATAATCTAACCTGGAAAGTAGCCCCAACAGTAGCATGACAGGTTTTCCCATCAATAAACTTTCTGATTCCCCACTGATTTCTAAGTAACCTGATGGTTAAGAATAGCAGATGAGCAAAATGAAACCTCCGAATTTGTAGACACTGCCAGATGGTTTGATTTCGTATTTTATAACTCCATGGTGGTACCTGTACCCCTAGTGAAAGATCAATACATTTTTCCTGATCAAGAGAAAGGTGGTATTTTAAAGCAAAGGACTAGAAACTGTTTTCTCTTTAGCTTGAGCCTACTGTACACACTAACACCCACTTCTGAATATCGGTAAAAGAGTGGGGCAATTTATGGAGCAAAGAATCAATGCTAGAAAGATTTCAGGGACTAAAAGGAAGATATAGCTGAAGATCATCAGCATTGAAGTGATATAGCTTCCCATAATGTTGCCTAGTGGGCTAATGTACAAACTACAGTACATAAGCAGGGGTCAATGACTTAGCCTCTTGGGGTACACCAGCATTAAGTAAAGGATGTGATGTGCAGAGAATTCACCAGATGGAAACCCTACTACTTTACAACTCAGAAACAATTTAATCCAGTCAAGGGCATATCCTTTGATGCCAAATGCTGTCTCAAGATGATCAAGCAGGACGTTGTGATCAACTATATCACATGCAGCTGAGAGATCATACAGAACAAGCATAAACCTTGGCAATATATTCAGTGAAAAGAGAAATATCAGTGTGGATCATAATAGAGCTGTTTCAGTACTTTGATTACCCCTATAGGCTCATCAGTTCAGTGAAGATTGAGAGAATAGTTGGTTGATGTTGTATTAATGTGTTGTTGTTGATTTTTATAGAAAGGTGATGGGACATAAAAAAACAAGGTGTTTTCTATTCTAGCCAAAGATGGTTGGCAGGCTGCACACATAGGCTTTTTAGTGTGTTTTTGCAGGCAGCAAAAAAATCACTGTCGGGCCACATGCAGCCCGCGGTCCACACATAGCCCAACTGTGATCTAAAAAATGTAAAACTAAGCTAATTACTAGCGATGATGGGGATTGTCATTCACATAATTTCAGTACTGGGACAATAATTACTGCCAGTCATCTTTCAATACCAGACAAAAAATATTGTTAATAGGTAATTTCATAAATATTCCTCACAAATACTGTTTATATGACAACATTATATCTTGCATATCATATATTTCTTAGAAACTCACCTTTAATATAATTCACTGCTTAGGTCGTCATCTTCTCTTTGATCATTACACTGTAAAAAAGAGAAATTGTTATGATGCTGAGAATTCTTTTATTTTTGTACTATTTCATTTGTAAAAAAATAAACTAAAACAATAACAATACAATAATAATAATAATAATAATAATAATAATAATAATAATAATATAGTAACTAGAACAATAATACATGCAACAATAACAGTAAACAAACAAAACAATAAAAATATTTACTAGAGCACACTCTGGGAGTGTATACAGTATTTCCGCCCACATCATAATTCCCAATGTATAAAATTCCCATGCATCTTTCCCATTTGATAAAAAAAATAATGAAAACATAATCCACCAGGATTCAAACTCGGGACCTGCCGCTTACAAAGCTAACATCATTTACCAACTAAACAATTAATACAGCCCGGTAGCTACTGTATCATGGAGGTAGCTATACACAAAACAAAGGAATTTTTCAGTATTTTGTAGTATTCATACAAAGTCTGAAAATGCCGAAATTGTAATACATTATCTCTATGTACAGCAAGCAAATACAGCCTTCCAAAAGGTTACTGTGAACTTAAAAGAATATATTAATTTCACAAAAAGTTGAACAGTATACTGTACACTGTATAGTAATTATGTCAACATTGTAGCAACTGAAACATCGCTACTGGTTTCTTGTATAGAGTAGGTATGTGTAATAAAATTGTATTAATTTGTTGTCATTTATTATCGATGTTAATTAAGCCTGTATATGTGAGAACCAATATAATTGAACCGTGAAAACCAATATGTATGTATGCAAATTGTTGTTTTGATGTATAGTTTTCACTGAGCCGATAAAAAAAATAAAACCGAAGCTCCCGTCAAAGCCTTGGCCTTTGTGTTTATTATGCATGTCTAAATCTTATTAGGTAGACCAACACAGAACACTTCATTGAAAAATTCCATGCTGCGTTACAGTATATGAGGTGATGTGAATCAACACAGTGATTATGACCGAGTTTTAATTATTGCAAGTATTTCATCTATTTGTTTAGTTCGCAGAAGAGCATTAATAGTCAATCAATGCTGGGTGCTTTTTAAAATATTTTCTTTGCTATCAACCTTCTTTAAGAAAGAGAATTCAGGGTAGGCGGTATGAAAATTAATCATATATTCATAGTGTTAATCTATTTCATGGAACAGGCGGGGAAATTGTTGTAAAAGCCTCTGTATTTCGCTCCCAAATGACGAGGGAAAAGCCGCATTCAGTCAACCTTGTTGTCGGCAAAGGCCAAGTCACTGATGCGCACTGCTCGTGTAAATCTGGGTGTCTATAACCAAGCACAGACACCTAGACCTAGGCTCACGTATGTTTATGCGTTTACAACCAGCTGTCTAAGGAAATTAAAATGTCAGAGAAAAAGTTTTTGATCGCTGATTAGTCAGTTTATCTGTCTATCAAATCTCGTCGAGATGTTAGTTGAATCATAAGAACAGGAATGTTTCGTTCAGCGCATGAAAACGCAGACTGAATTTTGGTTCAGGTTCATGTAAATATAGTGTGAAAGATCTTTTGTTAAAAATATACACACAAACTTGTTGAAAGTGAGTTTACTTTATATTGTAGGGGAGACTTTTTTTATTCCTTGCTTCGCATACTTATTTTATGAAAGATCATCGGAGGAGGGCGGAATAAAAATAAAAATAACATTTTGTTTCCTTATTTAGCGATAGTTTTCCAAAAAACATCCTAACGGTGGAGAAATAAAAATAAAATTTTATTGGTGAATGTAATATAATTAGGAAGAAATATACATGTCTTTGGATATTTCAAGGCAGCGGAGGGCGTAATAGAAATAAAGAAAAACTTTTTTTTTTTTCCTGAAATTTCCACTTTTTCGTGGCAGCAGGTGCACTAAATGGCCGAAAATGAAATTTAATTTTTATTCAAAATCATCAACATTTGCAGTCGGCAGGTTCGCTAATCAAGGTATAAAAAAAGTCTCGCCGTACATACACTAAAAACATTGCGATTTGCAACAATTATGTTTGGTGTGGAGCTGCCTATCCATGATGGAGTTGAGGTACATTGTTGAAATTTGTAACACGTACACATAATTATAGTTATACGCCTGTTGTGCAAGTTTTAATACCTTGTGTAACTGGCCACATGGTCAACGATCAACCCAAAAAGCTGTCTCTTATACACATCTAGATGTGTATAAGAGACAGCTACAGCATATCTTGCTTAAGGTTATACAGCTGTACCTAGAAATAATGTATTTGCAATTTAGGCATCCTTAGATTTATGTGACTCCTGGGTTCACGGGGAATGTTAAGAAGTCATTTTGTGATTATCATGATTTGTATACACTGTAGCTACCTAACCATGATGAGTTGAGTACATTGAGCTGAAAATTGTCAGTATACAGTACTGTAACTCGTCGAATAGAAGCTATGCCCGTTCAAATGAGCTTCTTTTCGAGATAGGCTTCATTTTGAGGCTACTTATATATACTGTAAGTAATGTTATTGATCATTGAATAATGTTGACATACCTGTATAGTTAAACAATTTCTTCAGCAATTCTTGGTGTCCACTGTTTTGGGAGGACGGCACCAGGTGTTTTTAAAGACAGAATGATCTTTCAGTCTCATTGGGAACCATTATGGACATGGTTGAGATGTTCATATAATGATGCAACCTCGTCATAAACCAGCAAAGCCTCACCTCACTTCGATTTGCTTTTTATCTGGTGAAATAATAATAATAATAATGATAATAATAATAATAATAAAAACTTGTAAAGCGCTGGTAAAACTTGTAAAACGCTCATGGCGCCCCTCCACAAGAAGTAAAAAATATGAGCGACAAAAATGATGTACAATGATATAAGCAGCTTTAGGATTACTGTCATATGATGTGGTTTTTATACACGGTTTCTTTAATTTATTTACAATTTTTTTTTAAAATCTCAAATCTTTGTCAATTATAACTGTTGACAATCTGTACATATTGTTTTTACTCAGCCAGTTATTGGTTTTAAATGACATTTTATTTTTCTCAAATATTTGAAATTAGACATATTACTATTATGCAAGGTCTGGAAATAAACTTAATGTAGATATGAAATACCAAAACAATTTGTTTTGACTTACTATTTTCACAGCTTTCTCCTTTAAATCCTGATGCACAAATACAGTTACTGTACTGTCTTGTCATCGCATATGCCACCATTCAAACAAATATTACAAATACTTGTACATTCTAGGTGCACCCCAGCGGCAAAGGTGGACATTCTGAATGAAATAAATATCTCAAAATGTTTTAACCTATGAATATATGGCAATGCATTTAGGTTTAACAAATCTAACACTGACTATTATTAAAGAAGCATGGGCTAAGAGTCTACATGGTGTTCACACAAAATGTGTTATGATTACGTACACTGTACAAGGATGCTATTGCTTGTTCAGTGGCGGATCCAGAAATTCGAAATGGAGGGGCCCCAGGAAGGGACATTCACCGCAGAGGGTCTAACCCACGTGAGACCCACCATGGTTGGGGCTGAGGTAAGAAAATTTATGATTTTAGCACTCTCAGACCTAAATTTAATTATAATTCTTCTTTTTTTTTCGAAATTTGAAAAAATTAGAATTAGATTGACTGTGAAATCAGTCAATCAATAAATCAGATATTATGTTATACTTAGCTGTGCAAACATTCAAACACAACTAGTGACGGATCCAGGAATTTGAAATAGAAGGGGCCAAGAGAGGGACTTTCACAGTCTATACCCTCAGCCCAATCATAGTTGGGGCTGAGGTAAGACCATATTGCATATGATTATCACGTTATTCAATTATAAAAGCAAATGAAACTTATAGTTATATGCATGGCACTATGCAATACAACATTCAAAACAATGTTATATATAATTCATAACCATGTTTAATGAGAATGATTAAACTAATTATTTAATCATTTGGTATCTTCAATACTTTATTTAGAACATGATTTATGTGAAACTTGACTATTTTCACTGGAATAATGCTACAACCATTTAAAAAAACAGCTGATATGCAAACATTGTACCATGTTATGTTTTTGTTATTTTTTATAAATAAACAAAGGTGAAGACGTACTTACAGAACATTTTTAAGACCTGTCAGGTCTCATTCTCAAACGGCATTTCATTACTTCCGTCTAGCAGAGGAATGTGTGATGACCTTTACAACCTACAGTACTAACTATTAACATCCAGATGAATTTTTTCAACTTATTTAAAACTTCAAAAATGACAAAAAAAACAAAAAAAAAAACAGAGAGATATAAGTATAACAACAGTATTTAATTTTAAATAATAATATTCCATAATTTAAAAAATATTTTTTTTAATGTTTTCGTATTTTATGATGAAATATCAGAAAATTTCTGAAACCTAATGTAAAGTCAAAGCACTAATCGGTGTAATTCCTCAACTTACAAAAGATCTAAATACTATAAATCCAAAATAAATCTTTTTTCCTCTGTCTCCCTTGCAATTCACTTGAACTGTAGGCCTACATTTATATTTGCTGTGAAATTTCAATTCTTTTCTTATCTTTTTATAGTTAATTAATTATCTTATGTACATATTAATGGAATTTGTAATTTGTGTGTATTTTTAACTTTTCACATTATTTCTTTTGTTTTTAATTTGTTTTGTTTTAAATATGTAATGACATGTAATTCAGATTTACTGTGAAATGAGGACATGAAAATTGAATTATTATGATTTACCAATAGTGTTAACTTACTTATTCAGGCCAATTTCTGAAGGTGGAAATGCCCTACTGCCACTGGATCGATGCACTTTTAGATTCTAGAGAGACAAATAAAATCAAAAACTGCAACAACTGAACATTTATAGTAAATGCAATTAGTTTAATGATGGGTTAGAAAGAGTGAAATTAAGTTTCAAATTTTCTTTTCTGAAATAAAATTTCCACCAAAAATCAAACTTTAAATATAAAGCCAAATAAAATTAATTGATCATATCACCTCAAATTGTGGGTCATCATGAAAATATTTACCCTTTCATTTCTGATTTTAGCACTCACAGACCTAAATTTTATTATAATTCTTCTTTCTTTTTTTTTTCTTCTCATTTTCTTTTATAATTAAGAAGTTGGAGGGGGGTGTGGTGAATCCGCTACTGTAAAATCAATCAATCAATCGAATATTATTATGTTATACTTAGCTGTGCAAACACAACCAGTGACTTTTTAATCACTAGGCCTACCCATATTTTATTCACACTGGACTTTGGAGTGAATATTCAAGATGTTATGGCATGCTAGCCTAGCCAGGAGCCTAGCCTAACTAAACCTACCAGCTAGGCCTAGCCTATAAAAAGCTAGCCCTATGATGGTTGATGGTCACTGTTGGAAATTTATCCATGCTTAATTTAGCTAGGCCTAGGCTATCTAGCCTAGCCTGGGCCTAAAACGAAAATAGGCCTATGGTGCCTAAATCATCTTGTTTTGGTTTTGATATATAAAATAACCTTAACATACCTTTGATGCACCACACCGGGCGGTGGGTGAAGTAACTGATGTGCTAGTACTAAATAGGCCTGGCCAAAGGATTGATATGCCTATCCTACTAAGGCATAAGCCTAGCCATGCCCTAGAGGCATAGGCCTAGGACTAGGGTAGCCTAGCCGCGCTAGCGTAAGCCTTATTTTAGGCCTGCTAGCCTGTCACCGTCCTAGGCTAAGAATGCTACAAAATCGATTCAATAAAAGCTTTTTAATTATTGATTTTATGCTACAGTAAAGTAGTTAATTAACTCACTAGGCTTTCAATGGTTCCTTATTAATAAAATAAACAAAGTAACACACTTACACAATAGCAGGCCTAGGCTAGGCCCAAAACGCTCAACTGGATTTCAATTTTTCGCGGGGCTGATCGAGCCATCGAAGGCAACGCATGCGCAGACATTGTTTTCGTCAAAATCGTATTATTTTTAAGATTGGAATTATTGAGCAGAAAAGATATACCCGTAGTCGCGCGAATAAGCGCCCCGTTTGAATAAGCGCCCATATCGAATAAAACCGCCCCTCCTAACGTGAAAATTCACTTAAGCGCCCCGTTTGAATAAGCGTCCCTTTTAATTTGAATAATATCATAATATTTTCTTTTTAGCAATCAATAATCCAATTAATCCTGGGACTGCTGCTGTTGGCATAATTGAGCTGCAGAGTGGAAACACATTCTTCTTAGGTCAATATCAAAATGAGGACATTTCTCTTGGACAGATGAGAGCTCCGATCCCTGGACAGACAGTATATTTCCAACTTTACTCTTTTTACATACTGTAGGCCTATTTGTCTATGCCTAGTCCTACTCCTCTTTTTCTTTTCCGACAATTTGCACCTTTAGCACATTCTCATCTGAGTTTTCAAATAAAAAATACAATGATCCTGCCATCCTGCTAATCTCAATCGGCCGATGGCTAACAGGCTACCACTATACTCACCACTACTATTTGCATCTGCTTCGGTATTTTGCTGTTATGTAAATATTCACGCGCATTCTTGTCATGAGCCATGTTCTGTGAACGATTATCTTTTCTAACCACCATTCGTAATGTCCTTACTCTAGACTCTTTGTCAATCTAAAGTCGAATTACGTCCTGGTCCCCGACCCTTTTATGTTCACTTGGATAGGATTATCTTTGTAAGACTTCTACGAATGGATACCTTGTTTGAAGCAAGAAACCAAGTTGTCTTTATTCAGTACCGCTCGTTTATATTTGTAACATAACTTTTACCACTCTATATATTTCCATTATATTGTCATAAAGAATATCTGCTATGGTTTTTGGGAAGAATTTGCAGAATCAGCGATCTTTTGACCTTCATATACGTAAATTTCTGCACACGTTTTCAATTTGAATGGCTGAAAAATCTACAGGCTACATGTTGATACCAACATCATGCAAATCCATCTAATAAATCATGATCATGTGAACCTAAATGCTAACCACTACCCCAAACATTGCCATTGATTACAAAAGTAATCAACAATGACCGAAGTACATTTAATCAATTTAAACACTTTTCTTGTTAATATCTTTTTTTTATATTCCAATCCATATGTTTATTAGTAATAGAAAATACTAATTGCTATCAAATCTACTCATAACTGTAGATTTGTAAACGCTTATGAGTGAATAGAATTGAAGGGCCCAGGGAGGGTACTTCCACATATAAAAGATCTATACCAGGGGTGGCCCCGTCGGAGGGCCGGAGGGCTAGGGCCCCTATCGGGGAGAGCTGTTCCCCCCCCCCACCCAACTGTCGGGGAGAAAAGGCACAATTCGTCGTGGAGAAAACAAAATTATATGTATTTTCTGCATATTAGTGGACTAATCTATTAAATAAGCCTTTGTAATTCCTAAATTTTCAAAATTTTTGGGGGCTAGTTCGCCCCCTGGACCACTTTCTAAACCTTTTAATCGAAGCTCGACCACGCCCACTTTGCTTTCGTCGGGGAAATCTGACCCCTTGTGGGGCATCGTTCCCCCCGTCGGGGACATCGCCCTCCACCCCCCGTCGGGAAAATCCTTGAGGCAATTCCTGGCGCCACCCCTGATTATACTACCTCAGCCCCACCATGGTTCGGGCTGCGGTAAGACAATTTGATTATGGAACCTCATGACCGGAAATTGCACTTCCAGACATAAAATTTGAATATAATTTTCTTTATAAATCTCCATTTTTTTTTATTTTTTATTTGGAGGTGGGTGGCCGGCTGGGTCCCCTTAGATTCTGCACTTGGTACTTAGCAGATGGAGGATCTATACCACTTCAGCCCCTCCGTGGTTTGGGCTGAGGTAAGAAAATTTGTGATTATGGCACCTCTAAATGGCGGGAAATTACACTCTCAAACTTAAAATTTGAATATAATTTTCCTTATATCTCCATTTAAAAAAAATGAACAAATTAGCCCCCACCCCGCCAAATTGTATCAATTCCTAAATTTTCAAAATTTTTGGGGGCTAGTTCGCCCCCTGGACCACTTTCTAAACCTTTTAATCGAAGCTCGACCACGCCCACTTTGCTTTCTTCGGGGAAATCTGACCCCCTGTGGGGCATCGTTCCCCCCGTCGGGGACATCGCCCTCCACCCCCCGTCGGGAAAATCCTTGAGGCAATTCCTGGCGCCACCCCTGATTATACTACCTCAGCCCCACCATGGTTCGGGCTGCGGTAAGACAATTTGATTATGGAACCTCATGACCGGAAATTGCACTTCCAGACATAAAATTTGAATATAATTTTCTTTATAAATCTCCATTTTTTTTTTTTTTATTTGGAGGTGGGTGGCCGGCTGGGTTCCCTTAGATTCTGCACTTGGTACTTAGCAGATGGAGGATCTATACCACTTCAGCCCCTCCGTGGTTTGGGCTGAGGTAAGAAAATTTGTGATTATGGCACCTCTAAATGGCGGGAAATTACACTCTCAAACTTAAAATTTGAATATAATTTTCCTTATATCTCCATTTAAAAAAATGAACAAATTAGCCCCCACCCTGCCCTTGAATGCGCCACAGATTTCTGAACAAAGTCGAAGTCAAGATTGCTTCCACGATCGCAATGACTTATTTATCATGAGGGTTATCCTTGTTATGGGTTCCTCGACGCAAACTTCCCCCGATGGATAAAAAGTACCCTTCTATGTAGCCCGGATATGATACTCCAACTGTGGCGGGTCCAGGAAGTCGAAATAGAGGGGACTCAGGGAGGGTTTTGCGCAAATAGAATGTCCACCCACCTCATCCCTACAACTTGGGGGCTGAAGTAAGAAAAAAGTTTGATTATGGCATCTCCAGATTGCCAGAAGTGGCATTATGAGATTAATTAGTTAAATACAATTTTGTCCGTTTTCTCCATTTTTTTTTTTATTTTGAAAAAAATTAGGAGGTTGGGGGCCTGTGCTGACTGGGTTCCCCATTGAATCTAACACTGTTCAATATAACACTTGCCATAATAAATCATTTTGTATCACAAATGATTAATTGCTAATGTCAAGCGAAAGATATTTTTATTCGTAAGATTTTTTTTTTTTACTCAATACAGTTTCACAACCTATAACACATTAACTACAGTGTACTGTAAATTCTGTAGTTAACCTTAAGAGAACTATTTTTAAAAATGGCCTAATTAATTATCTTATTGTTTTCGTTAAATTAGATGGAGTTTAAATGCGGTTATATTCCGCTAGTTTGAAGGTTTACGGTTTGCCAAGCAGTTACACTAGCTATACATCTTCGTGCTTAGCATAAAGAGAACTAGAGTGTCGCTCCATTAAGAGTGCCTACCTCCCCCCATATGCCTAAATACAGAATTCACGAAGGCAGGCGATTTTTTCTTCATGCTTGAGGGTGGGTTTCAAGAAAACTTTACAGACGCGCATATACAGACGTCAATCAAACTTTGGTTGCTCAACTCAAAAAGGGAACCTGTAATGCTCGTTAAAAATGAAAATAAAATCTATATTTTATAATAATAATAATAGGTCAATTTATAAGACGCAAATAAACAAGGTGTCTAAGCACCAAATAATAATAATAATAATAATAATAATAATAATAATAATAATAATAATAAAAATAATAATAATGACACTGCAGCGTTCGTCAAATATTTGACACTGGTGCTGGGAACAGTCACAAAAGTGTGGAGGGGGGGAAGCCCCCAGTAGAAAAAGTAGGCTGGTCAATCAAGGCTCCTGCCGCCGTTGGTTACAAGCATAGATGTTACCCCTACCCCAAAAACTGTTGTTGATTACAAATTTCTAGGATCATAAACAATGTACAATAACGTCAATTTTTGCATTCCATATATCAATATGTACAAGAAAAAAAAAACTATTTGTATCAAACACATCCAAAATTTGAGATATAACACTGACGTTAGAAAAAATGGGAAATTTTTATTACCTCCATCGGTACAGGGATGGTAGTTGACTCCCCCACACCCTTCCTTGTTTGATAGGAACCCCGGTCACCAGGACTTTTTCTAACTAAAAATATTAGTTTTTTTTAATCAATTTTACGTAATTTTGATTGCCAATCCCTATATTGTGGTCCACGCACCTCCTGTCGGCAAATATTTGGAGCCAACGCGGACTCAAAATGTTTCATCATATTTGTAAATTCAGCCCTCCGTATCTCTCTGATCGTATTTAATAAATCATTAAATGATTTAATAAATCATTGTTACATTAGTGGTTAATGACTTTTGTTACAACAGTGGTTACATCATTTGTTACAATAGTGGTTAATGAAATTGTTACAACGATGTTTGATTTTTTATACAACCGTGGTTTATGTTACAGCAGTGGTTGATTTTTGTTAAAACAGTGGTTAATGTTACTACAGAGTTGATTGTTACATTAGTGGGTGATACAACTTCTAATAACAAATTGTTATTTCGACTATAGTTGCAACTAAAACATGGTATATCTAAACATACATTATATGCGGACTAATTGAGATTTCAGTTAAAGTTAAAAAGGGGATATATACACAATGCAAAACTAATAAGGTTAAGGAACTAAATTAGTACCTACGGTACGGAAGCACCTAAGTGCCATTCGACTTGAAACTTGTCAAGATAATTTATGTTGTCAAGTCGACATAATATACATATTATGTCGACATGTCGAGATAAATTATCTTGCCAAGACGACATACTAAAAATGTTATGTTGTCATGGCGAGATAGGTTATCTTGACATGTCGACATATTAAAAATTGTATGTTGTCATGGCGAGATAGATTATCTTGACAAGTTGACATAATAAAAATGGTATGCTGTCATGGCAAGATAGATTATCTTGACAAGTCGACATAATACAAATTGTATGTTGTCATGGCAAATTAGATTATCTTGACAAGTCGACATAATACAAATTGTATGTTGTCA